AGTCTAAATGTGGTTACTGGAACTCAAGTTTAAAAGGAATTGTGATGTCCATTATATTAGGTCCTAGTAGGGTATGTGACATATCTATGGAATTGACAAATTGTTACAAATTCATAGATTCAATTATTATTTCTGTGGCAAGCCCGAAATAGGATCAAAAGTTTATATTTGGATTGATGCTGGTCTGGAACACAGGGGATGGTCTCCTATTGTTTCTGTAGGTATGCCTTTTCTCCACGTTCAGGCCAGGCTTGGAAACCTGGTATATACCCAATGACATGTAAATATCTTGCTGAGGGCCAAAATCTAGTAAGAATTAGAGAATTAGAGATGTCCTGAACAGTTCGCCGGCGAACATAGCTTGTTCGCGGTCGCCACGGCGGGCGAACAAATGCGATGTTCGGTTCGGTCCGCCCCTTATTCGTCATGGAGGTGGGAGGGTCTGCTGCTGACTGGCTGGAATGTGTCTGCTGACTGTGAGGTACAGGGTCAAAGTTTACTCAATGATGACGTATAGGGGGCGGACCGAACATCGCATATGTTCGCCCGCCGCGGCGACCGCAAACAGTTCGGGACATCTCTGGTAAGCATCTTTCGCTGACAAAGACCCCCTCGATTGAAAGACACTGTTACTTTTAAAACATAAGTGAGTGAACAATTAGGATTGATGTTAAATTATCCATTTTGTTTTTGTTTGTTTGTCATCTGTTTTTTCTAGGCACTGTGACTATTGTTTGTTCATTATTATTATTCCTTTCATAAGTTCTGCCTTTTGTCTAGTCAAGGAGGCACATGACCTGATTAGATCAATTTATTAGTATTCTGACGTTACATAGATATTGTTCTAAATTGTATTTTGAAGGTTTTTTCAGTCTAATAAACCTGGAGGGCTAAGGCACTCAATTTATAAACTGTCTAGGCGGCGGCAGAGTTGAAAATAGTAATATTTATATAATCATATAATTAAATGTGGGCGGTGTTAAGGGGGATTTTTATAATTATTTCCAGTCTAGTGCAGACAAATAGTGAAGTTTAACCCCATTCAACACCAAAACTAAGTAACCCACACACTCTTGGCGTAGGGTGTGTTCGTAACAATCTAACTTTACCATTTCCAGTAAAGGCCCATTCCACCAGGGCCACTGCTCCTTCCTGGGTTGAGAGATCCAATGCTTCACCGGAGAATATCTGCAAAGCTGCAACCTGCTCATCGTTCATCACGTTCATCAAACACTACAGGCAAAACTTCATCTCAACAGAAGCCACTTTTGGGAGTACGGTGCTCCAGGCTGTCATTTTAAAAGACCCACCCTTTTGTTGCCATTGTTTTGGGATCTTGCAATATCCCCACTATCTACTTCAACTATATGTCAGGAAAAACATAAATTTGACTTACCGTAATTTCTTTTTACCTTAATATAGTGGCAGTACAATTTCCTTCAATCATTTGATAATAGATTTATATTTTTGCATTTAAGCAGGTCTCTGTGGGTTTTCTCTTGATATTTACTGAGTGAGTAAATAAGGGTTCCACATTTATAAGGCAAGGAGCAGGGCCCGTTCAAGGATTTTTGCCGCCCTAGGCAAACAAACATTTGCCACCCCCCCTTATGTTCTGCCCACTATGTGACATCACAAGCCCCACCCATATGATCTGCTATATGGGCCAACGCCAGTTCTGCACAAAGTGTCTTTTATCTGAAAGGGCAGGCCCATTCTATAGACACCAGAACCACCACATTAAGCTGTAGTGGTTCTGGTGACTATAGTGGCCCGTTAATGTGAGGTAAATTAGAGATTAGTGACACTAATAATATATTGGATTACCTACTTACCACCTGATGAGGACAAGAGGATTATTGGTGTGGTTTAAGCTATAAATAGACTTATACCGATATGTGGAGCACTCCAACACAAATACAGCTTACCAAATAATATTTCATTCAGTGGCGAAGTATATAGTACATGTAGAAAAAACAAGGAATACAATATAGTGCAGACGGTATGGGAAGTGATAATGTCACAACTGTAATGGAGTTTAAATAAAATGAACACTCACATTCTTAGGAGCCTGTATATAAAAACACTGGCTCCGTATGACAAAAAGCGACAAGGGAGAGCAAACCAATGTGTAGAAAGTGCTGTATGCAAAACACAATATGGTGGAGATAAATGGTGTGCTCACCTGGTCCCGGCTCTAGGTATGTAGGTTTTGTGTCAATTTAAATGGGGATGACACTGCCCCTAGGAATTTTCTCTTGAGGTTTCCAAAGAAGGACCAAAAAAGGATCTTTAATAAAAAATAATGTATTTATTTAAAAATAAAATAAATAAAAACAATAATAATAAAAAGTCCTTATAAAAAGTCATCTTTGAAGTAGCCAATACGTGTTTCACTCCTTCAGTGGAGCTTCCTCAGTCAGCTGACAAGAGGATGATGATGGGCTCAGGCTGCAGTCTGGCTCCACAGGTCTGGTGTAGAAGAGGCTTTCTGGAGACTGTTTGGAACAGTGCTCACAACAATTAAAGAACAGGAAGCAGCTCCATTTTGTGGGGGGCCTTACACAGCTGAAGGTCTGGGCCCCCAGGGCCTGACCGTGAGTATGCCTACAAGTCCCACCCATAAGTCCATCTATATGGCCCACCCACGATTTTGCTCACAAAGAGTGGAGTGTATGTGTGTAGGGGATGTGTTATTGTAGAGGATCTAATGTGTGGGTGTTCTTATGAAATGTAGTATATAGGGAATGCAGTGTGTTTTTCTGTGTGTGTGTGTGTGTGTGTGTTTCTGTGTATGTAATTTAATGCAGTGTTTCTGTGTATGTAATTTAATGCAGTGTTTCTGTAAGGGGTGCATTGAGTGTGTGTTAGAGATGCATTTTGTGTCTGTGTGTGTGTGTGTGCGTAAGGGATGCATTGAGTGTTTCTGTGTATGTGTAAGTATGCATTGTGTATGTGTGTATTGTAAAAGAGAGGGTTTGTGGGGTAGGATATGGGCTGAGAGGGGAGCAGCTCTTTTTTTTTTTTATATAATGCTCTCCCTTGGCTCCCTGTCCCTTAGTGATATTCCCTCCCCTCCAGTCTATTAGTACTCTGGCCACCCGTCCTGTCCCTTACTGATCTCCCCTACCCTACATCCTTAGAGCTTTTCCCTGCCTCTGTCCCTTAGTGGTCTCTCCCCTCTCTTCTCTGTGCCTCATTGTTACTCTTCCCTCCCTGTCCCTTAGTGGTCTCACCTGCTCCTATTGGTCCTCCCTCCCCCTCCTCACTCAGTGAGCACTTCCTGTCAGTCCGCCGGCGCACGGGTACAGGAAACAGAAGCTCCTGTAGCACGGTACGCGCCGCCCTGCCACGCTACATTGAGTGACTGGCAGGAGGGAGCACTGTGCACTTCCCTCCTGCCTGTCATTTAAAACTGGCGCCCCCTGGGTTGCCAGTTTTAAATGATTGCCTATAGGACGCGTCAGCCCTGGCAAGGAGGATGTATTAATTAAATTTATTTCATTTTTATTTTGCGGTCTGCTTGTTCCGCTAAGAAATACAGACCCCACTATACAGGGAGTGCAGAATTATTAGGCAAATGAGTATTTTGACCACATCATCCTCTTTATGCATGTTGTCTTACTCCAAGCTGTATAGGCTCGAAAGCCTACTACCAATTAAGCATATTAGGTGATGTGCATCTCTGTAATGAGAAGGGGTGTGGTCTAATGACATCAACACCCTATATCAGGTGTGCATAATTATTAGGCAACTTCCTTTCCTTTGGCAAAATGGGTCAAAAGAAGGACTTGACAGGCTCAGAAAAGTCAAAAATAGTGAGATATCTTGCAGAGGGATGCAGCACTCTTAAAATTGCAAAGCTTCTGAAGCGTGATCATCGAACAATCAAGCGTTTCATTCAAAATAGTCAACAGGGTCGCAAGAAGCGTGTGGAAAAACCAAGGCGCAAAATAACTGCCCATGAACTGAGAAAAGTCAAGCGTGCAGCTGCCACGATGCCACTTGCCACCAGTTTGGCCATATTTCAAAGCTGCAACATCACTGGAGTGCCCAAAAGCACAAGGTGTGCAATACTCAGAGACATGGCCAAGGTAAGAAAGGCTGAAAGACGACCACCACTGAACAAGACACACAAGCTGAAACGTCTAGACTGGGCCAAGAAATATCTCAAGACTGATTTTTCTAAGGTTTTATGGACTGATGAAATGAGAGTGAGTCTTGATGGGCCAGATGGATGGGCCCGTGGCTGGATTGGTAAAGGGCAGAGAGCTCCAGTCCGACTCAGACGCCAGCAAGGTGGAGGTGGAGTACTGGTTTGGGCTGGTATCATCAAAGATGAGCTTGTGGGGCCTTTTCGGGTTGAGGATGGAGTCAAGCTCAACTCCCAGTCCTACTGCCAGTTCCTGGAAGACACCTTCTTCAAGCAGTGGTACAGGAAGAAGTCTGCATCCTTCAAGAAAAACATGATTTTCATGCAGGACAATGCTCCATCACACGCGTCCAAGTACTCCACAGCGTGGCTGGCAAGAAAGGGTATAAAAGAAGAAAATCTAATGACATGGCCTCCTTGTTCACCTGATCTGAACCCCATTGAGAACCTGTGGTCCATCATCAAATGTGAGATTTACAAGGAGGGAAAACAGTACACCTCTCTGAACAGTGTCTGGGAGGCTGTGGTTGCTGCTGCACGCAATGTTGATGGTGAACAGATCAAAACACTGACAGAATCCATGGATGGCAGGCTTTTGAGTGTCCTTGCAAAGAAAGGTGGCTATATTGGTCACTGATTTGTTTTTGTTTTGTTTTTGAATGTCAGAAATGTATATTTGTGAATGTTGAGATGTTATATTGGTTTCACTGGTAATAATAAATAATTGAAATGGGTATATATTTGTTTTTTGTTAAGTTGCCTAATAATTATGCACAGTAATAGTCACCTGCACACACAGATATCCCCCTAACATAGCTATAACTAAAAACAAACTAAAAACTACTTCCAAAAATATTCAGCTTTGATATTAATGAGTTTTTTGGGTTCATTGAGAACATGGTTGTTGTTCAATAATAAAATGAATCCTCAAAAATACAACTTGCCTAATAATTCTGCACTCCCTGTATAGTGCCAATATATTAAGGAATTTATGGTAAAATTTCTGTTTTCACCAGTTTATTTCCCTTTTTTTTTTACATGCACCTTGCCTTTCTGCTGGGAAAAGTAGGCATTCCAGGGTATCTTATATGGTGTGTGTATAGCACCTTATCATATCTCCATTTTATTTAATAATTTAGGTTTGTGGTGAGGGTTTCCTATAGACAAACATTGCAGACACAGTGAGGTGATGGCAATATATGCATCAAGTCTCTCAGTGTTTCTCTGACAGTCACTGGATTAGCCAGAAAGAACCGTTTTATTTAGCAGTATTTGAATGGAGGGGTGGGGGGGGAAGAAATAACTGGTAACTTCCCCTATGTAAAGATATTCGGTTTAGATTAAGAGTTGGGTAATATTTTAGTTTTTACTTTAGCTTTGTATAAATTTAAGAACACTAACATGTGTTTTTTTGTTTTGTTTTTTACTACAGGGAGAATTCAAAGTGACTTTCATATTAAAGGCCACAGTACCCAAACTGAAAGCATAGCGGACTTATGAAATCTGATCAATTCAGCTATTTTTACCTTGAAGGGACAATCTACGCACTATGACTGATTCATGTCAAAGTTTTTATAGTGTCTGTAGTACCCTGGCACCACCATTCCATTCATTGTTAAACCATTTGACAGTCTCGGGCAGCCAATCTCGTTTTGCTTTTGAATTGGCTGAATGTGTCAGCGGACTGCATATTACATTGGACTTTGCTGGTATGAATTGGTATGGCTATCCCTACCTTCTGCATGTGAGGATGACAGCAGTCTGTGGGTGACCAGGGACTATTCGTTAGTGTTAAACCGCTCATAAAATACTTATATACACTGAATTAAAGGACAATGCTAAGAGACTGCAGGCACTATAACCAACTCATGTCAGATGAAATTGTTAGAATGCTTACAGTCTCCCTTTAGATTTGAAATTTACTAGGAATAAGTGGGGGGACTGATTAACAGCCCAACTGTATGCAAAGTAAGTGTTATTATGTTCTAATACAGGGGTTTAAGCCCCATTCTACCCTTAGGCAATAATGGAGTGCTCTGTGAGGCACATGGCCTTTCACCATGCAAAACCAGTTAGGTTGTTGATAAACTCCTCCCCCATTCCCTTCCAGAGCAATCCCTTGTCTTCCAGGATGCAATCTGGTTCTGTTAGATTCTAAGGGATTGACTAAGGGAGGTGTGTCCAGCAGAAGGAAGGGCTGTAAATAACACATTCTCTCTCGCTTTGAATTTCCTCTCCTCACCCTCTCTCTCTCTCTCTCTATTCTCCCTCCCCATTATACACACCCTCTTACTCTCAGCTGATGATCAATGGAGTGGTAACTGTATCACGCGTCTATGCCCATTTCATTATGTTAATATAGTTTACTTTCCATTCAATCAATTACTATTTTTCATAGCAACATATAATAGCCTATTTCAAAAGTATATGTATTGTTTATTAGTTTGATAAGCCTCTCTTAATAAATATTATTGAATTGCCAAAAGCAAGGAGTGTGGACTCTGGGTTTACACTAGGTTTTTAAGTAATTATTTTTATTATTCATTTCATACATTTACTACAATCTGTATGAATCCTCTGACATAGAAGTATTAAGTTTACAAAAAGGTTTTCTATGTTCTAAACAAGAGGATGAATTCTTGTATGGATCACCTTATGTGAGTGAAGATTTGAACGCTGTCTGAAACACTTCCCACATTCAAAACAGGAAAATGGTTTCTCTCCTGTGTGAATCATCTGATGTTTCTTAAGAGTTGACTTGTGAGCAAAACACTTCAGGCATTCAGAACAAGAAAATGGTTTGTCTCCTGTGTGAATCCTCTGATGAGTCTTAAGAGTTGAAATATCAGTGAAACATTTCCAACATTCAGAACAAGAAAATGGTTTGTCTCCTGTGTGAATCCTCTGATGAGTCTTAAGAGTTGAAATATCAGTGAAACATTTCCCACATTCAGAACAAGAAAATGGTTTCTCTCCTGTGTGAATAATCTGATGTCTCTTAAGAGCTGACTTGCGAGCAAAACATTTCTGGCATTCAGAACAAGAAAATGGTTTGTCTCCTGTGTGACTCTTTTGATGAATCTTAAGATTTGAAGTATCAGTGAAACATTTCCCACATTCAGAACAAGAAAATGGTTTTTCTCCTGTGTGAATCCTCTGATGTACCTTAAGAGTTGACTTGAGAGCAAAACACTTCAGGCATTCAGAACAAGAAAATGGTTTCTCTCCTGTGTGAATCCTCTGATGTTTCTTCAGAGTTGACTTGAGAGCAAAACACTTCAGGCATTCAGAACAAGAAAATGGTTTCTCAGCTGAATGAATCTTCATATGCCTCTTAAGATATGACATTTGAGGAAAGCGTTTCCCACATTCAGAACAAGAAAATGGTTTCTCTCCTGTGTGAATCCTCTGATGTTTCTTAAGCATTGACATAAGAGCAAAACACTTTAGGCATTCAGAACAAGAAAATGGTTTCTCAGCTGAATGAATCTTCACATGCCTCTTAAGATATGACATTTGAGGAAAGCGTTTCCCACATTCAGAACAAGAAAATGATTTCTCTCCTGTGTGAATCCTCATATGTATCTGAAGACGTGACATTTTAGCAAAATATTTCCCACATTCAGAACAAAAAAATATATTCTCTTTGTGAGTTCTCTTACGTGTGAGAAGATGTGGTTTCTGCTTAAACCACTTATGTCCAATGTAATCTGTACTGGTCAATGTAGTTCCTTTGTTGACACTCTTCTGTTTAACAAGCTCTGGATTGGTAGATGAAACCTTAGCACCATCAAAGCAGTTACTATTTCCTTTGTTTTGCGTTTCAGTATGATGAGTGGGGGTAAGAAGGTCTAAGATGGTGAGATTTACATCTTGATATGAATCGGATTCTTCCTTAACATGAGTAGATAGATACTCTGTCTGTGTATATTCTCTGGGTGTATAACTGTCAGATTCTCTGAGATTTCCTTGTTTATGTGAGGTTGATTCATTATTTGATGTATAGCCTAGATGTTTATTTTCTGTGGGTGTATAAACCTCGGAGCTGGTGAGAGTGCTGGCTTCACATGACAAAGATTCTTCCTTAATAAGGTTAGTTGAATATTCTGCCTCTGTATGGTCTGTGCCTGTATAAATATTATTGCTTATGAGAATTTGTTTTTCATTTGATGCGGTTTCACACTTTGTTGTATAATCCATTTGTATAGCGCTATTGATTGGATAAATGGTAGCTTCAGCAACATTTGTTTCTTCCAATGAGACTGATTCCTCCTTAATATGAGTAGATGGATATTCTATCTGTGCATCTTCTGTGGGTGTGTAAATGTCTGTGTCTGGGAGATTTCCTTCCTCACACGAGTCTGATTCCTCCTTAATATGAGTAGATGTATATTCTATCTGTGCATCTTCTGTGGCTGTATACAAGTCTGTGTCTGCGAGACTTCCTTCCTCGCATGAGTCAGATTCCTCCTTAATATGAGTAGATGAATATTCTATCTGTGCATCTTCTGTGGGTGTGTAAATGTCTGTGTCTGGGAGATTCCCTTCCTCACACGAGTCTGATTCCTCCTTAATATGAGTAGATGGATCTTCAGTCTGTATATGTTCTATGGGCGTATTAATGTCTCTGAGATGAACTACCTCGGATTCTGCAGTATCATGACTCAAAGATTTACTGCCTGGTGTACTGACTGCCACACAGTTTATTTTTCGATTACTTGTGATTTCGTTATCTTCGGTTACATAATCCGGAGAAGAAACTGAAGTGTACAATCCACTGATTTCATTTCTGTTTATGGAACCATCTACTGGAAAGAAAACACTTAAAATTAGAACATTTTCTTAACTGCTGTGGACTTACCAGGCTAGCTATAGATGTCTCAGGTGGTTACTTAAGCAGTGATCTCTCTTCCTGTTTTGTTTTATTAATGTTATTTTACTGAGACAATATAATGCATCAAAATGGCATTGTGAATGAAAAGCAGGTACAATAACATCCAATAATAACATTACACATGTGTAACTTAACTGCATAGGGAGTCTACACTGGAAAAAAGACAAGTATAATGTAGCGGTCCACCTGGTAACACAACCGGTTACCTCCGCTAATTCCCTTCCTTCAGCCGATCAGGAACCATTTAAAATACAAGAAGACCCATTTCCCCCCAGGAACTGGACGAGACACTGTTCTGGAGGTACAACTCTGACAATCTTTATTGAAAACAGGCCTCTTTTATGTACAGACCCCCACAGGTGGTTTCCATACATTCAGAACAAATTCCTCAGTCCCAGGCTGGTGGGGGATGGCTTACAGCAGATAACCATCTCCCGCTCTGGAAGATACCAACTAAACAATAGTTACACACAATAAAACATAGTACATACAGGGGGGGCACTTAGGAGCTCTGCGCCCCGGGAAGGGGTCACAAATATCAGACACACATCACTGGATAGCCCCTTGTCCCCTCTGGGATCCCTGCAAATAGTGGGGGTATCAGATGTGCAGAGCCCGAGAAACCATTGTCTAAAGTCTGGGGCTCAAGGCTCTGTACATCCCCGAAATTAGGAAATAAACAAGCCTATAAGGGAGAAGATGTCAGGTTACTCTGAAGTAGGGAGGATAACCCTCAGGATCAATAAACTAAAGTATAAAGAGAAGAAACAAAAGGGTGAACCATTAAGTAGGTGAACCCTTTTGAAAGGTGAGTAACCCAGATAAAACTTAACTTTTAATAAGTATAATATATAAAATTGATATGATAGCTAAATCACGATAAATGGTAAGAATAAGCAGAGTAACTTCTGCCTAAATAGGAGTAATAAAAGCCCCTAAATCACATAAATAAAAAAATAATAAAGTGTAACCCTATTATATAAATAAATAACTGAAAAGAATAAAAACAGAAAAAAATAATAAATAATAAAGGTTCAATGATCCACTGTGAATCAGTGGTAGTCAGAAGCTTAAGTCAAATACTGCAAGAAGTAGATACAAAATAACAGCAAATGTAACCGCTAGCTGAAAGTCACATATGTTGCTAGTCTAATGAACCGGAAGGGGTGGGGGGGAGATAGCAGTTGGAGTAAATTGTAGGAGAACGAAAAGCCCTACAGAAGATCGTATAACTTGTAAAGGAGAGAAAGCGAATAATGGAAAAACTAGCTTCCCTACTCTGCTGTGCCTTCGAAGGCACCCCTTTAAAAATTGCTAATAACCACC